AAAAGAAAAAAGAAAAAAAGCATGTGTGACCCCACCGCTTAGGGAGGGCTGCTGCCTCCTTCCAGGCTTTCTCAAAGGCAGGTGGTGCACTGAGACAGTTTAACGCATCGGGGGCATGCAGTGGACGCACGTAGCCACCTGCCCTTCGCCCTTGCACTCCTTCACTCACCACAGGGTCTGGCAGGCATGAAGCTTCACCTTCGAGCTAATGGAGCCTGGGCATCTGGGACCGATTTGCCCTGGTTTGCTAGAACTTTCCTGGCTTTAGCACTGAAAGTCCCATATCGTGGGAGCCCCTCTGTCCCAGACAGTCAAGATGGTTGGTCACTCCATTGAGGACTCCCTCTGTGCTCCCCAGATCCCATCTGCAGCCCTGGAGGGGCCCTAGCAATGTGTGCATATGGGCTTATGATTTTGTAAAATTTGTAAAAAAAAAAAGATCTTTTTCTGTTACTAGTTTATTTGAAAGTGGGCCCCCAAACCATATAAGCTTTAGGGTGTCACCAAGCCTGGACCCTCCCTAGAACCTGAACCCCCAGGCCTGGCAGGACCCCCTTATCTCTTGACTGAGGCTTTCTCAGCTCCTCTCTGCCCTTATGCGCCCTGGGCCCTGCACCCCACCCCAACACACACACATACACCTGGGAGCGTGATTACTCACAGTAGGAATTGAGGAATTGAACCTGTGGGTTCAGGTAGGGAGGGAGCTGGTGAGCCCTCTGCTGCAGACCGCAACTTGGACCCTTCCTGCCCTGGGTGAGGAGGGGATGGCTGAGCTGGGACAGTGTCCAGGGCAAGCTCAGAGCTACCTCCTCTGACCTGGGTTGGCAGGGAGGTGGTCTGTGCTGGCTGGGGGCCAGGAGACTTGCCACCACTCCTGGCTCCCCCAGGCACCAGCTGTGGCCACCCCTGTGCCTCCGGTCTCCCACTAGAACAAGAAGGCTGGGCTGAGTCAGAGGTGCCCTCTTGCTCTGTGACTGCAGCCTGTTAGTGACCCTTTTCTTTGTCTGGAGCCAGGTGGGAAAATGGAGTTCTGGCAGGGAGCTAGCTGACTTCCTGTAAAGGACCACCTTCTATTGGGAATTTATATCCTTACTTTTAGAGTTTTGAAATTATTTATTGGGAAAGAATATTGGAGCTGATAGATGAGAGGGTTTTTTTTTCTCTAATTAATCCTCTGTTTTGGACAAATAAAACAATAAAACATTTGAAATTTTGCTGTTTTCAGGGTTGATCTCTTAAGGGCTTTGGCTGTAACACTAAGGATTCTGTAAGTAGGGTAGGTGTCATCGCCCCCATGACAGAAGTAAGGTGCATGCTGGAAGTGACTTGTCTACTGGCTCGAAACAGAGACTGGGCTCTGGACTGTCAGAGCTGCAGTTTCAACTCTGTCCATGTCCACATTCAGTGTTCTCCCCGTAGCTTCCCAGTCTGAGTTGAAGTGGCACCAAGGGGCAGCTTGAAGGGGCAGTTTTACACCCTCATTTTTATCAGAGCCCCTCAGTCACCCCAAGCAAACACTGAGTATGAAAGCTGAGTTTGCTAAGGCAGCAGCTTCAAGATGAGACCCCTTGGGTTGGCTCCCAACCAGATTGCCACACCCTAGCTGTCCAGCATAGAAATTCTGGAGCCCGCAGGAGCTGTGGATAAAAGGGGTCCAGAGTGAAGACAGCCTCTGGCCAACTGCGCTGTGCATTCATTCCTTCCACAAACATCAAGTCCGTGCCAGCCTATGTGTCCCACCGGAGATACTCTCAGTCCGGTGAGAACAGAATTGAGTCCATAAGCACCATCCAGGATGCTACAGGAAGGAAATGCAGTGGCTACCTCTCTCAGGGGATGTGGAGGGCTTCCAGAGGGAGGTGACTCCTAAGCTGGTTCTGATAAAGAAGTGTTGGGGAGCACTTCAGGTGGGAGAAACAGCATGTGTAAATAAATATCTGGGGCCATGAGGTCTGAGTGGGTCTTAGAAATGATGGTGAGCTCTTGGGGGCCCGGGTTTGTGAATGAGAATGACAAGTCAAGAGGCTGAAGGGGCAAGCAGGTGAGCAGCCCAGGGTAGGCCTTGGATGACAGTTTCACAAGCTGGCTTCATCTGAGGGCAATGGGGAGCCTCAGAAAGGGCTTTTAAGCAGAGAAGAGGCGTGTTTCAGAAGCTCTCTTTGGCTACTGTGTGGAGGTGTGGCTTGGAGAAGGCCCTGGGGGCAGAGGGCCCAGCAGGAAACATGTGGTCTCATCCAGCCTGACCTCTCCCATCACTGAGCAAGGCCCTGTCACTCAGGGATCTGGGTCCATGGAGGTAAATCCAGTGTTCCTTTGGCATTCGTCATCTTGGAATCTTCCTCGCCTCTTCGCCTGCCTGTGGCTGACTGTTGGGTTGGCTGGTCCATCTCTCTCAGGTCTAGAATGGGGTCAGTGCAGAGAGGTCTTCAGTAGTTGTTGGCTGATAGGTTTCTGCACGTGTCTTGGGCATTTCTTCAGGTTCTGGGGCAGTGTGGGAACTTGAGGAACCTTGGGTTTGGCATCAAGAGCAGGGCCACCAGAGAGGGACCTTGGAAAATCCTAGCCTCTCCAAGCCTCATCTGTAACAGGAGACTGGAGTGCTAGGTTTGGAGCAGACTTGGTTTGTGAAACTAGACATTTAAAGGGCTTGCCATCCAATCCTCTCTTGCAGGTGTGTGACATCCCTGTCCAGTAGGTTTTGTTACCCCCAACTTCAGGTGAGATGTTGAGGCCCAGAGAGGTTAACTGGAGTTGCTGGCATTGCAGCCCGCACCTGACTTCCAGGACGCAGCCTCTGCTTCCTGCTTCAGGGAGTTCCCAGCCACATGGGGAGTCCCACGTGGCCACTTGTGTAAGGCTGTTAGGCAGGCCTGAACCTGGGAAGAAAGAACAAAGGCTGGGGGAGGGAGGGTGGAGAGGAGGAAAAACCAGGAGGAGGAGGGAGGAAAGGAAGAGAGCAGATGGCAGGGCTGTCAAGGGAGCCGCATTTGGCACCTACACCGGAAGAACCAGCTGTCCAGTGGGAGGAGAGGCAGAGCATGGGGAAGTGCCTGGGGCCCAGAGGTCTGAGGCCACATTCTGCACCCCCTCTGTCCCTAACTGGTGGCGTGACTTGAGAAGATGCCAGTGCTTTCTGGGCCTCAGTTTCCCCATCTGTCAAATAGGAAAAGACATCAGATTGGGCTGGTGGTTCCTAGCCTTTCCACCCTCAAAGAACCCTACTCTTGCTCCTAGATAATTGTAGGTTGGGAACTTTGGGACTAGTCAGTGTTTCAAGAAGTGAAGTCAAGAACCAACCCCCAATGCTTTATGCGGGCCTGCAGCCGGGCGGCCCTGGGCCCTGGGTCCATTACTATATGAGCAGAACAGTGTCACCTGGAGCTGGCAGGGCGGCTGGTGCCCCTGTGTTTCTGGGGGAGCCTTCCGGTCCAAGAGGGAATTTCGCTCAGCTCCCTTCTTCTGGGGAAGATGGTATGGGAGGAGGGGAACTGCGGGGAAGGGGCAGCCCTTTGGCTGGGACAGCCCCAGACTGTCAGGCTCAGACCATTTAGAAAGCAATCATTCAGGAACCCCAATAAGCTAGGGCTCCTCAAATAACTCAGGGTCCAGGGGTCAAGAGGACATGGTCTGTTCCCCAAATCTTCAGCCTCCTCTGAACATCCCTGACGCCTTCTGTAAATTGCACTGTAACCTGGCCTCCCCCCAGGACTGCCCTTCCCCAGCAGCCTTATTAGTGGCGCCTTTCTTTGCCTCATACCTTCCCTCTGCCAGGTCTGGAGATGGGCAGGGTCCATCTGGCTCCTGAAGCGGCTTCCAGACCATTCTCCGTGAGCTTTGAATCTCAGGCCAGCACTGGACCTGCCACTTCCCTCATTGTGGGCCAGCCCCAGGTCACTTCCCCTGTTCCTGGAAGATGCCTAGACTTGGCACCTGCCCTCTCCAGCATCACCCTGTCTGTGTTCCTGGTCACTGTAGTTCCTGCTTCCATGATCCTTCTCATACTCTGGCCTCTCCCTTCTTTGGCCTCCTTCCTCCTACAGTCTTGTCCTCCCCACCTGAGCCACTCTCGGCGGGTGTAGCCTGGCCCTGGCCGTTGTTCCCAGGAGCTGTGTGAACTCAGGTGTCCGCCTCTCCCCCTCTCCCTGTCTTTCCAGCTCTCTCACTCGCCTACCCCGATTCCAGTGGTCCTTGGCTTGGGGCCTCTGAGCCATTGACCCTCAAGCTATGCACCAGCCGTCACCCCATCCTCCCCGTCCCCTTCTCCAGCTTGGGCTCCCTGGTGGCCTCAGCTACCTGCTCCCAGCTCTAGCCCTCCTGTGTCGCTGCACTCACCTGGTGAAGCTCGGCTTGCATCCACCCTTGGCCTCCTCACACCTGCCCGTCTCCTAGGCTCTCGCCTGATCTGGTGGCCCAGGCCAGCCTTGCAGGGTCCACTAGATCCCAGCCACCTGTTTATGGACTCTGATTCCCTCCCTCCCTCCACTCTCTTCTCCTTCCTCCACTCTGGTTCTTTCCCATCAGCTTACAAATGTGTGTTATTTCCATCCCCTGGCCCATTCCTCTGGTCCTTCAGATTTGTCTGTTGTCACCGTCTCTGGTGTCTCTCCTCCAGTTTTCTCTCACATGCACCCCGCTCAGGCTCTCTCCCTCACTTCTCCATCTTGTCAAGATCACCCGTGACCTTCACGTTGCCAGATCCTGTGGCCCATTGTTACTAATGGCTCTCCCAGCCGCCTCTGGCGCAGTGAGGGGTTTATACATCCTCCCTTTGGTTCCGACAGCCTCAGGGCACGGACGTCCTGTTGTCTTCTCTTTAGCGTGCCTGGTTTTCACGAGAACTCCCAGTCTAGTGGAGGGACATGTGGTGGAGAAACCTCTTACATACGGAGCACAAGACCCAGAGTGAGGAAACACTCACTTGGGCTCGAGACAGTAGAGTTGAGATGAGAGGGATGGGGCCAGCCAGGTGGAGAGGGGGGACATTCTGGGCAGGAAGAATGGCACGGATAAAGGCCAAGGCCAAGAGGCGCAGCAGAGCGGTGAGGAGAGGCTGCTGCCCCTGTAGGCTGTAAGCTCTGGGGGGCAGGGACCACATCTGTTAGGTCACTGTCATAACCCCAGTGCTAGACGGCGCCTGGCATCTCGTAAGGGCTCCACATGTGTGTGAATGAGGCTGGGAACTGCACTGCTCTGCCCTCCCCCTTCCACCTACCATCTAGTCTTCAAGGTCCAACTCAAATATCACCTCCCCCTTGAAACCTTCCAGGATTCCCCCCAAGCTTGCTTTCTCCTCCCCGCTTTCCTTGTGCTCTTCATGAAGGCTCGTAAGAACTCAAGAAGTGGGGAGCTCTCCCCCTCTGTGTCTCCTCCAGAAGGTGAGGCAGAGCCTGGGACCGGATTATCTCTCCGAAGACCAGGAATTTTCTCAGAGGGATAGAAAGAGTGGACAATGGCAGGCATGTAGGGGCTGGCAGGGCAGAGGCTGGCATTGGGGTGAGGTTGGTTAACCTTGCCATTCTTACCAGCTGAGGGACCTCACAGAGCTTCAGTTTCCCCATCTGTGAAATGGGGACAGCAGTGCCTTCCTCCAGGGCTCACTGGTACATAAATGAGGTCCTTTGGGGAAGGGCTCAGCCAGTACTTGGTTGGTGTTCACAACCCTTTTCCAGAGTGGTATTGCCTTTCCCCCCTCTCCCCCACCTCCTTCCACCTCAGAAAGATCAGAGGTGGCAGGACCTGGGATATGGAAGGTTGTGGGGTGGGGCATCTGGATACTTCTGTCCAGAGCATGAGCCCTGGGCAGGTCAAGCAGCTGGTCTCTGGATCTGTTTCCCCCTTTCTGTCGAGGCTTCCACCCCCTTGCGGCTACTCAGCCACGGAGGGAGAAGATGAGGAAGCCTTCAGATCAGCGGGCCAAGGCTCAGTACCTCGGGGACAGGCTGGCCCGGCAGAGCCCACTCCCCACCCCCACCGCCGAGAACACCCGGGGACAGCTTGCAGGAAGATTACAGCCTAATCCCCAGCAGGTCACTTCCAAGGCAGCAGAGCGTGGCGCCTGGGCCAGGGAGGAGAGAAGGGTCCTGGAGCCCCACCTGCCCCACCCTAGCCCTGCGGCTCTGCACGAGGCTCTGGAGGAAGCTGAGTGCCCACCGGATGCCCGTCACGCGCCCCTGCGCTGACTTTGGCCGTCTTCCTCACATGACCTGCGAGAGGCAGGGCCCCGTTCCTGTGAAGGGGGGCCCTTGCAGCCTGACTCATCCCTTAAACACACAGCAGCCCCTTTCTTTGTCTACCCTTTCCCGGAGCCCAAGAGGCAGACTGGGGAAGTCACGAGGACACCAGCAGGAAGGCAGGTTCAACTCGCGGTAAAGGAAAGGACTTTGCAGCCCCTTTTTAGGAAGTGGGCTCCCTGTGATCTTAGGTATGCAAGCAGAGACCCAAGCCAAGGATGCTGAGGAGAGAATATGCTTTCTCCCAACTCCTGTGCTGCCTGTGCCTCTGCCCAGCTATCAGGCTTGCTGTTCACTCTCCTTGAAACCTTTCCTGACCCTCCTTCTGGGTCTCTAGGGGAGACATGCACCCAAGAACTGAAATAGTAAATAAGGAAAAAGTATATAATGATATTATCAAGAAAATTAATTGAGATAGTGGAGAATATTGTACATCTGGGATTCAGGTGGAGGGCTTCTCTGAGGAGGTGGCTTGCATTGAGATTTGGATGTTGAGAAGGAACCAACAGGAACCAGCCTGCAAGTTCTGGGGAACTCTAGGCATCCCAGGCAGAGGGAACAGCCAGTGCAAAGGTCCTGAGGCAGGAATGAGCTTGAGAGGGAATGACAGGAGAGTGGCAGGAAAGGCATCTGAGAGGAAGGCAGGAACCTTGCAGGTTCCAGTGGGGAGGGGGATTTCACGATGGGGTTGTGAGTGGGTGGGATGGAGCAGGAGTTTGAAATGATCTGACTTAGGTTTAAAGAGACCTTTCCAGCTGCTGTAAAGTAGACAGTGCAGGAGTGGGAGTGGGCACACAGCTTGGGAAACTGCTGTCCTTGCCTAAGAGGTGATGGTGGCCTGGACCAGCATCGAGGGTATGGAATAAATTGAGAATTGTTTGGGGGAGGGTGAAGAAATAGGCCCAACTGCCAGGTTGGATGGGGTTCAAGGATGAGCCCATTCTGGAGTCTGAGCAGCTGAGTGGGAGCCAGTGTGCAGATGGATGAGGGACTGGAGGTCACTAGGGGCTGGGAGAGGCCAGAGGTGAGACCAGCGGCCCATGTAGGGGGACCTCATACGGCTTAGGGGCTGGACTTTACTCTCAGCCCCAGCAGGGACTGCTGAGAGTTGAGGGTGGTGGGCACCTCCTGGCGGCATCTGGAGCTGCCTTGGAGGAGGCAGAGAGGAGACTGTCCGGGGTCAGGCAACAACATTGCAGCCTGGAAGTGGGCAGCAACGGAGACCATGAAGTGGAGAGCCAGAGAGCAGGTCATCTGGCTGCCTGCAGTGTGAGGCGGGGGCCAGGAGTTCCTCCCAGCCACTGGGCTTGGGAACAGATGTCCCTGTACAGAGTGAGAGGTGCCATTCGTTGCCGACAGGACTGGAGGGCATGGGCTCCCGACTTCATCTCTCTACAGCTTACCTGGGGGAAGACTCAGCACGTGCCTAAGGATGTTTAAATCCAGGCCTCTGGGAAGTTCCTGCAAATAGCAGTGACCTCTCCACCGCCCACCTCTGCGCTGGGCCTGGAGCCCGGGTCAGCCTGATGCCCTGCAGTGGCCCAGGCACAGCCTGGCCAGCTCTGTATGCGGATGAGGAGTAAAGTGAGCCAGGCCCTTCCTGTGCTATGGGGTGGTGACATGGCTTGGGACACCAGAGGTTGCTCCTGGGTCTCATGTGGATCCTGAGCTGGGGATCTGGAATTCTCTTCTTCATGGGGAGGCAGCTGAAGGTGGAGGTTTGGCTCACATCCTGGCATGGGGTGGAGAGGGGTGGACCTGGGCAGGAGGCCCCATACTTACCTGCTACGGGTCGGCCTGCTATGGGCCTCAGTGAGCCTCAATTTTCTTCTCTGTGAAATGGGCTGAATAAACCTGCTTATGGGGGTGTTTTTCGGTTTCTTTTTTCCTTAGAGGTTTTGATGAGGATTAAATGAGGTGGGTTTTGTCAGGCACTCCCAAATGATGCAGGGCCCCTGTGGAGGCTGTGGGCTACGGACTCAGGGTCTCAGGGGACAGACAGTCCCGTAAATGAGTCTCAAGCAGGAGTGTGTGCAGGGTCAGGGTCAGGGAGAGTGACTGGGAAGGAGGGTGGCCCAGAAGGCGACTGGAATCTCTGCCTTCTAGCTGGGTTTTGAAGGATGAGAAGGAGTTCGTTCCTATTTGAAAGATGGAAAAGGTGGCAAAGAGCATTCTGGGGTGTAGGAACAGCAGGGGCAAAATGATCAAATAGCCTGTGGCCTTGTCATTACCTGCTCTCTGGGAGTAGGGGAGGGAGAGGTGAGAGACCAGGGAGGGTCTGGCAGTTCTGGGGTCTCTGTCAGTTTCCCCGCATCTCTGAATGCAGTCGCCCAAGATTCTGAGATTCCTTCTGATTTGTTTTTCTGGTTTGACATAGCTCTGCTCCAAGTGCCACCTGGAACCCGTTTTTCAAAAGACTCAGCATTGGATTATAAAGATGGTGAAAAAAATAGTCTTGGCCCATTTACCTTGGTGCTTTTTTTTCTTTAATGTGAGGGGAGGAGGTGATTTTTCCTGTGCCTGCCAGTGACCAGCTGCCCTTCTAGGTCCTCCCGCAAGGCCACCCTGCATCCTCTCCTGTTTCCGGGCTGCTGGTCCTGCCTCCGCAGACCTGCCTCCTGTCCCTGCAGCAGATCTCCCATGCCTCTGCTGCTGTGGCCAGCGTAGGGTTTCATTCCGGTTTAATTTCCGGTTCTCCGGCAGCTGCTCCTGTGCCCCTTGCTGTCCCTGCAGACCTGGCCTTGGCAAGCCTCTCCGGAGGCCGCCCAGCCCAGAGCACTGGCCTTGGATTCAGAGAGACTCGGGTTTGAGCCTCCATTCACCCCTAACCAGCTGCGTGACCTGGGCAGGTCCCCGGACGGACGCGGGTAAAATGAGAATAAGGACACAGACTCGTGGAGTTAAGAGCATGTATTTCAGCCACATTGTGGGTCTCGAGGGAGTCCCGCTTCCTCCTGCCTCAGACTGTGGAGCAGAAACCTGAGGCCTGGGCCCGCTCTTGGGGGGCCCCCTCCCACTCAAGGTGCGAGATGGCAGCTAAATGGAGGTGTTAACTCAGGGCTTAGGGGACCGGGAGGGAGGGTGCGGAGTCTGGTGGTGTGTCCTTGGCTTCTTCCCTTCCCGGGCCTCAGTTTCTCCATCTGTAAACTAGCATCCTGATCCAAGGGAGGCTCCCCCACCTGGCCCAGCCCGGCGGCCTGCAAGGGACCTGGCATGGGCACCTCTGCTTCCTGACCCGTTCTCACTCTCCCTCCCCGTCCCTGCAGCAGGCCATGGCTTTACCTCCAAAATAACATTCAGTACCTGCCAATTTGCACCATCCCGCTGCCCGCGCCAGCCTAGCCCCTCGTCCCTCACCTGGATGCTGTGTAGCCCCTGCTGGTCTTCCTGCTTTCACCTTTGCCCCGCAGCCTTGTCAAGCCTAAGTCAGATCAAGTCACTCACCTGCTCTTAAACTTGAAGTGACTCCCAAACTCAGCCTTCCCTTCAAGTCCCTAGGGCCAGTCCTTGCCTACCTCAGTGACCTCACCTTGCTCACTCTGCTCCAGCCACACTGGCCTCAGCTGTCTCCCCATCAAGCTTATTCATGCCCCAGGGCCTTTGCACTTGTGGTTCCTCCTCCGTGGCCCGCCTCTCCCAGGTAGTTGTATGGCTCTGCCTCACTGCAGTCGGGCTTCTGCTCAGAGGTCACTCCCTCAGAGCCTCCCGTTCACCCAGCCTGTCTCCTCCTGCCCTGCTTTGTGTTTCCTCAGGGCACTTGTCAGGGCTTACATGCACGTTTCTCAGCCGTTTGTCTCCCTGGTGAGAACAGGGACCTTGCCGCCTCAGCCTCTCACACAGGGCCCGGCACATCCTAAGTGCTCAGAAATACTGTCGAATGAATGAACAACTGATGACAGGCCCCAGTTCTCTGCCTCTAAGACGAGGCCTCCCAGGCCCCGGATGCAGGGGGCCCTGTGGGTGCAGAGCTGTCAGCAACCTGGATGGCACATGCCGAGCAGCAGGGCCACCTGGCAGCTCTTCCGCCCCTGCAGACGTTAACAGAAAAGTTAGTTATAGCCCAGGACCTGTGGTGCGGTAGAAACAGTCTTCCAGAAAGAAAACAGTGGCAAGGACTAGGGTATGAGGTGGCTGGTGGGAAATGGAGGGAGTGGGGGCCCAGGAGAGGTGGGCGTGGCAGCTACTTAGAGGGCCTTCTCCGCCAGCCCTGGAAGCTTGGACTGTATCCAGAAGGCGGTGGGGATCCACTTAGGTGACCTTCATGCTTCAGGGTGGGGACTGTGATCCACAGAGCCAGATCTCGTCACCCCTGTGACATTTCACTGCATTTAATCTAGTGTCCCCATGGCCCACCAGGCCTTGTCCCCGTCCTGTCCCCTCATCTTCCCCTTCCTATCCCACGTGCCTCTCTAGCCCCAGCTCCCTGGTCACTGCTCCATCCTAGCTCCTTCCCTCACCTTCAGCCTTTGCCCCTTCTGTTCCTCCGCCTGAAACAAGCTTCCCTGATCTTTGTAGGGCTGGCTCCTTGGCTCAGCTCAAAAATCACTCCTTGGGGCTCCCTTCCCTGACCATTGCTGCCTCCCCCCCAGCATTTGCCACCGAGGGTCACTGTCTTAATGACGTATCCACTTGTTTAGTGTCAGTCTGGCATTTTTTGGATGCTTACTGCACATCATATACTGTTCCTTACACGCGTGACCTCATTCATGCCTCACGAAAACATCAGTGATTTAGCTGCAGTTGTTGCCCCGCTTTACAGACAAGGAAACTGAGGCTCAGAGAGGTCAAGTCACTTGCCCAAGATCACGCCACTAGACAAGTGGCCAAGCTAGGATTCAGCAGGCCCAGGTTATCTGACCCAGACTCTTGCCCCCTCATTCCTGTCCATCCAGATGGTCAGCTCCCGGACAGCAGGGTCTCCATGAACCTGTTTACCCCTTGATGCCCCCTCCCAGCACAGTGCCAGGTGCCAAGAAGCCTTTGACCTGTGCTGATGACCAAGGCCCGTGTCTGCGGGGCCTGTGGGGTGGAGAGGAGTGTGAGGATTTCGGGGGCTGAAGAACAGGCAGCAGCTGGAAGCCTCCTCCTTCCACTCTGCCTGTGGGCCCCACCAGGTCCTTTGGAGGGTGTTTTGATCCTGCTCCTTCCCCTGTTGGGGACACATTCCCTCCAGCACTTTCCTCTTGGTGTCTCTGAAGACTCCCTGCTTCTCTCTCCCAAGAGGGCCTTCTTAATGGTTCCTCCTCTGCTGTCCCCAAAGCCCAGACTTCCGCCGCCTGCTGCCCTGCCCACTTCCCTGCAGCCAGCTTTTGGAAGGGGTCCACCCTTGTTCCCACCTCCAGCAGCAGTGCAGCTGCAGTGTCCCTTCCAGCCCCCAGGGAGCGAGTCTGGTAGGAAGTGCTATTCCAGAGGGCCTTCCTGGTGCTCTGCGTTCTTTTCTAGGGCCCCTGGAGAAGGGAGTTAACTCTTACTAAGCCCTGACTGTACCCTGCTCTGCTCCAGGATGCTTGCATGTAAATTCTCCCATCAGCCCTGGAGGGAAGGTTAATTTTTACAGAGGACCAGTCTAAGGCTCAGAGCGGTTAAGTCATTTGCCAGAGGCCACACAGCATGAGCAGCAGGCCTAGGATTTGAATCCAGCAGGTCTGTGTGACTCTTCAGTGTATGAAGTCTCTCTAATCAAGAGACTTTTTACTATATATAAAGTAGATAAGCAACAGGGACCTAGTGTATAGCACAGGGAACTATATTCAATATCTTGTAATAACCTATAATGGAAAACAATCTGAAAAAGAATATATATATATATATATACACACATATATATATGTAAAAGTGAATCACTTCGTTGTACACCTGAAACTAACAATGTAAATCAATTATACTTCAATTAAGAAATAAAATTTAAAAAAAGGAGGCTTTTCCATTTTGCTGGATCAGTGACATCTGGTGACATCAGTGCTGGGATTCCCAACCTGGCAGTTTTCTGGTAGGAGCCTTGGACTTGTTTTGGTGTACAGGTCTCAGGGGCTGTGTGAGTGGTAGTTCCTGGAGTTGTGCAGTGCACGGCCCAGGCAGCCGGCTATCAGAGCCAGCCTTCATCTCCTGGTGGCACCTGCCTTGTTGGCTGGACTGTGTCAGTAGCCCAGGATCCCTGGGTTCAAGTTCAGCCTGTACTACTGACAACAATGTCACCTTCTCTTTCTGAGCCTCAGTTTTCCTACTCTGTTAATGGGGGGCAGAACAAATGGCCTTTGCTGCTTTGTGGGGTAACTGTGAAGATTCCGAGCCTGTGACCGTGTAGAATCGTGAGCCAGGAGGCCTGTGTGGGTCTGCAGGTGGCAGTGATGTGGACATTCCAAAGCAGGACTGGCGATGTGTGGCTCACAGACCACAATTGCCTTCTTTGGTGCCTGTGGCTGAACCAGGACACAGAATCCCAAACCTTTCTTTTTCTTTTTCTTTTTTTTAATTGCAGAAAAATTCACATTACCCACAATAGGCTATTTTAAAGTATACAGTTCAGTGGCATTTAGTGCATTCACAGTATTATGCAACTGCCACCTGTTTAGTTTCAGAGCATGTTCATCGCCCCATCAGTACACCCCATACCCATTGAGTAATCACTCCCCAGTCTCCCCTTCCCCAGCCCCTGGTAACCTCTAGTCTTCTGTCTCTATTTTGCCTGTTACAGGTATAATACACAAAAGAAACTATAATAGTAACCATTGTGTCTGGCCTCTTTCAATTCTTTCTTCACCTATTTTAATGTTCATCCAGCTGCAGCAGGTATCAGAACTCTGTTCCTGTTTATGGCTGAATAATATTCCATTGTATGGATATGTCACAACTTACTTCTCCATCGGCTAACAGACACTTCGGTCAGAATCCTTCTTAACACACAGTGTCACGAACCAGTGGTCTCCAAACTTTTGATCATGCACTCCTTCAGGAGAAATTTTTGAATCAACCCTCCCATTAAATGTTGATTTGAAACCCATGCACTTATGGTCAATTAATCTACAACCAAGGAGGCAAGAATATACAATGGAGAAAAAAGAGTCTCTTCAATAAGTGGTGCTGGGAAAGCTGGACAGCTACATATAACAGAATGAAACCAAACATTCTGTAATAGTGTATAGAAAAATAAACCCCAAATGGATTAAAGACCTAAATGTAAGACCAGAAACCATAAAACTCCTAGAGGAAAACATAGGCAGGACACTTTGACTTAAATTGTAGCAATAATTTTTTTGAATCTGTCTCCTAAAGCAAAGGAACTAAAAGCAAAACTAAGCAAATGAGACCTAATTAAACCTAAAAGCTTTGCACAGCGAAAGAAACCATCAACAAAATGAAAAGACAATCTTCTGGGATTTGGGAAAAAATATTTGCAAATGCTATGACCGATAAGGGGTTAATATCCAACATATGTAAACAGCTCACACACCTCAGCATCAAAAAATAAACAATCTGATTAAAAAATGGGCGGAAGAACTGAATAGACATTTTCTGAAGAGTAGACGCAGATGGCCAACAGGCACATGAAAAGGTGCTCAACATCGCAGATCAGGGAAATGCAAATCAATACCACAGCGAGATACCACCTCACACCTGTCAGAATGGCCGTCATCAAAAAGAACACAAAGAACAAATGTTGACGAGGATGTGGAGAAAAGGAAACCCTTGTACACTGTTGGCGGGAATGTAAATTATTGCAGCCACTGTGGAAAACAGTATGGAGCCTTCTCAAAAAACTAAAAATAGAACTACCATCTGACCCAGCAGTAGTCTAGCAATGTACAGTGGACTCAGCTGTAAAAAAGAATGACTTTTTGCCATTTGCAGCAACATGTAAGGGTGGGGGTTTAAGAGGTACAAGCTATTATGTATAAAATAAAGCTACAGGGATATATGGTACAACAAGAGGAATATAGCCAATATGTTATAACGGTAAATGGAGTATAACCTTTAAAAATTGTAAAGCACTATGTTATACATCTGTAACATATAATATTATACATCCCCTATACTTCAATTTAAAGATGTAGATTTGTTTTATATAGATTATTACTACACTGATATGTCCAGTACATTCTAAAGCCCATGGAAAGGGTGGACATCTTAAAAAGATAAGATTTTTAAAATGATGCTTCTCGTATTTTTTCCCACACCTGCCCTGGAGTCACTGCTCATCTTGGGTCTTAGCTAAGGACAAAACTGTGTCTAGCGCACACTGAAATGATAACTTCTTATTGTGGAAAAATTAGAAAGCAAAGTGAAGTGGAAAACGGACAGTAAAAATCCCTTGCAGCCTGCACCTCAGGCTCCTGCAGGCCACACCCGGGGGTCCGTCTTCTTGTTTGTGTGTGTGTCCGTTGGGTCTGGGCCTTCTCATCCTCAGTTTCAGGGGAGGCGAGAGGCAGGAGGAAAAAGCGTGAACTTGAGAGTCAAGTCCCTGGGTTTGAAGCCAGCCCTGCCACTTGGTTGTGTATTGTTGTGGCCGGTGTATTTTTTCACTCATCACTCTTTCCAGTTGTCAGGGCCTGGGCAACAGGGAAGGATGGGACCAAGGACAGGGCTTGAGATCCCAGAGCAGCCTGTGGCTCCGCACAGGGGAGGGGATCATAAGATGGGGCTGGACACGTGCCAGCATCTGGAGAAATCAGCCTGGGGCGTGGGGGCTTGGCAGGTTCCCAGAGGGCGGGAAACCGCTTGTTCTGGGAGGCCAGGTCCTTTCCGAGAGGAACCTTGGTGTCAGGGCCCAGGAAGACCTCTCAGACCTTCAGCAGACTAGAAGGGGATTGGGGCCACACCTGCAGTGGGAGGGTCCTCAGTGCCTGCAGCTGAAGAAGGAAGTAATTAACCCGCCTGTGCTGTGTGACCCCAAGTGAGTTCCCCTCCCTCTCTGGGCCTCCCCTCTGAAATGCCTGCTTAACTCTGGCCATGTGGCTTTTTGGGGTGAAGGGGCTTACAGAGGGGCAGGCAGCAGGCCAAGGGGCTTGGTAGCCTCCCCCTCCCCCCGGGCTGGTATGGGATGGGGCCTGCCCAGGTCTCATTCCTGCCCCCGCCCCCCCACCTCCCCGGCAGGTGTTCTCCATCGTGGTGTTCGGCTCCATCGTGAACGAGGGCTACCTCAACAGCTCCTCAGAGAGCGAGGAATTCTGCATCTACAACCGCAACTCCAACGCCTGCGGCTACGGGGTGACCGTGGGCGTGCTCGCCTTCCTCACCTGCCTGCTCTACCTGGCCCTGGACGTGTACTTCCCGCAGATCAGCAGTGTGAAGGACCGCAAGAAGGCCGTCCTGTCCGACATTGGCGTGTCGGGTGAGCCCCAGCCCCGGCAGGGACCCCCAGCACAACAGAGTCCGCAGGGGGGCAGTCCCAACCATGGTCCCGCTTATCCTCATGTGCACCTGTGAGGCACCTGCCACCCTTCTCCCCATTTTCCAGATGAGGAAACTGAGGTGCAGGCGGGTGAAGGGACAGACTTGGGGTGACAAGCCTGGCAGCAAGGAAGGGTGAGACCAGGCTGGGCCCAAGACCCCAGAACAGCCCACAGCTCAGCGAGAAGGGGAGCAGAGTGGCCTCTTCTGGCCCCTCCCTGGTGGAGCCCTATGAGGGCTAAACAGGTTGATGGCCCTGGCGCACAGTAGATGCCCTGGGAGAGTCAGAACTTGGAGCTGGGAGCTACCTTGAACTGCTGCCCTTGCCCTTCAGAAACGGGCTTTGGCAGTGGTACCCTGACCTCTGTCCCTCTGCGTTCTGAGAAACTGATGGGAGGATCTCCGGTTTGGTGTCACTGGCCTAGGGCTGTGGTCTCAGGTCTCTGGCTGGGACCTCGCCCAACCTCCACGCCCAGGATTCTCAGGATGAGCCCAGTTACCTGCAGGCATTGAGGCCTTGGGTCCCTTAGACCTGAAGGAATGAGAGTGACATGAATGATTCTCAAACTGTTCCATGGAGCCCCAGGGTTCCTTAGCATTGCCTCTGGAAGGGACTGGGTTCTAGGCACCACCCTGTGGTCACACACACATTTTTGTCCTGAGCAGCTCCGGGCTTCTCTGGGTAGACCCCGGCCACCCAGAGAATATCTTGTCACCACAAGGCTCCCACTACTAAACTCCCCGGACCTCGGCTTTCAAAGGGCCCCTTACCAACCTCGGGGCTTTGTGAGGCTGTAAACACATTAGAGGTCGAGACTCAGACCCAGAGTTGAGCCACCACCCTGGCCCCAGTGTCCCCTCATACTCCCCTGCCCAGTTCTCTGGGAGGCTGCCGTCGGGTGGGGGGCCAGGCGGACATTTCTCCCAGGGAGCTGCGGGCCTCGGGTGGACCATGGGTCCGTCAGGGATTTAGCTGGGAAACCTGTGTTTGGCTGAGGTTAGAGAAACACCGGCCTGGGCTGACTGACTGTTCTCTGTCTCTCCCTGCCTCCCTCCCTCTCACCGCCCGGGCCCTCCTGGATCTGCTCCTGGCCTGGCTGGCTCCTTTCCGTGCTCTCTCTCCCGCTCTGCGTGTGACCCGCCTCTGTTCTCGCCTGCACCCTCCCTGTGCTCCCCACTCTGCCCCGCCTTTGGGGGTGGGGGAGCGTGGGAGACGCTGTCTTGAACCTCCCTCTGTTCCTTGGTTTTCCTGTTTCCTCCCCACTCTCGTGGCCTGTTCTGCCTGACCCTGCGGACACCCAGCCTTCTGGGCCTTCCTCTGGTTCGTGGGCTTCTGCTACCTGGCCAACCAGTGGCAGGTCTCCAAGCCCAAGGACAACCCGCTGAACGAAGGGACGGACGCTGCCCGGGCCGCCATTGCCTTCTCCTTTTTCTCCATCTTCACGTGGGTGAGTACCTACCCACCCTGTTCTGCTTCCCTCCTCGATGCTCACAGCAGGGCTGCTCCTGCCAGCGAGGATAGTCCCGTGGTGTTGGCAGACCCTGGTCGTGGTGCAGAGCACCCTGCCTGTGGTAACAGACCCCCCTCCCAACCACTCCAGTAGTCAGGTGGTAGGTATTTACTGCCCCCTCTTACAGATGAGAAAGCTGAGGCCTAGGCTTTGAGGCTCAAGGCTGGAAAGAAGCCCCACCCGAGAGTCAGGATGGGTCACATCTTGGGGCTGCCTCTAATTTTCTGGGCCTCTATCTTCCCATCTGTAAAACGGGGAGGTTGGACTTGGGGTGGGGGGGTGTCATAAACACAGGTGCCCAGGGAGCAGGCAGGGTGTGAGAAGGTGTGAGTGGAGTAGGTGGCGTGTGCCCGCCATCCTAAAAGGGCATCCTCTGCTCGGCCCCTGTTCTGAAGCAGGAATGAGGACCCACAGAGCCCAAGTCTTCCTGTTTTCCCAGAAAAGCCAGAATTCTGAATTTCTATGTGAAATCTCATCTCTGTGTTAGTGATTTATTCACGTTTAAAAATATACATTGTTTGGGTCAAAAAAAATTTGTCTCTGAGCCCCACTGGCCAGAGGTCACTCTTGCGGGCCTGGACCCGGTGGTCTTGAACCCCCATCAGCGTAGCAGCAAGGCTGGCCCCTCTTTCCCTCTGGTTTCAGGTCCTCTCAGTTTATTTCTTCTCATCTCCCTCCTGAAGATATCTGGGGTCACATATGCTCTGTGCCTCCATCCCAAGGGTTATCCCTTCCCCTCCTGCAGCCCCCTCCCTTCCAGGCCTTCCAGCTGTCCTGGCCCAGCCTTCGGCAAGGAGGAGGCCCTGGAGCTGTATGCAGGCAGCCAGCCCTGGCCCCTCCTGTGAAGCTGTGCTGCAGCCAGGCTTCCTTGCCCCAACCACTCCCAGCCTGTCCTGGGGAGACTTCTTTCTCTTTTTGTGGATCCCTGGATATCCATTTTCTCTTGGGGGTAGGGCTAACAGAGAAGGGGTGGGCGATTGGACACCAGGACTCCCAGGGGCGAGTCTGGAAGCCCGACTGACAGGTGCTCACCAGCCCACGGAAGCCAGCTTCCTGCTGGCCCCTCTGCCTTTCCCTGTTCTTCCCCACTGGCCTCACCCCTGCTCTCTCCTGGCAGAGCCTGACTGCAGCCTTGGCCGTGCGGAGATTCAAGGACCTTACCTTCCAGGAGGAATACAGCACGCTGTTTCCCACCTCGGCACAGCCATAGGCCGGCCTGGCTTCCAGAGGCAGGGAGCCCTAATCATGCCCGGTGGCAAGGCTGGGGGGCGTCCTACCGCCTGGACTGGCCGGGATGCCAGGGTGTGCAGGGCAGTGGAAGACTGGCTTGAGAAGCCGGTTAAGACTCACCACATACTCACTCATTGCCTCTTTTGTTTCTTCTTCATGTGTCCGTTCACTCAGTAAACATTTATTGAGCAACTGTTTTGTGCCTAGTGATGAATCAGATGTGGTCCCTGGCCTCAGGAGCCCACAGGCTGGAGAGGGGAAGGCAAAACGAAATCACCCCCAGATGGACTACTGCAGGCTGTTGGAGGGTTAGAGGTGGCTCCACACATGGGCTGCCAGGGTGCTGAGCTGTGGGCACAGTGTGGGAGCCTGTCCCATGGCTGTGACATGAAGGCCGATTTTACAGTCCCTGTGGAGGCTGGCTGCCAAGGGGGCCTGGCCAAGGACATCAGGGGGCTCCTGATCTGGCTCTGTTCCCATGTGCTGTGTGACCCTGGGCAGACCCCTGCACCTCTCTGAGCCTCAGTCTACTTCCCTCAGCTGAGGAGTGATAATAGACCAACTTCTCAAGGCTGTTGTGCAGGTGAAACAAAGGTTGGCACAGGGCTTGGCACAGAGATGCTCAATAAATGTAGGCTCTTTTGTTCATTCGTTCATTCATTCTCTCCAAGGAGTCAGGGATACCTCCATAATCTCTACTTTGCGAGTGATTCCCGTGTGGTGAGTCCCTGTTCTTCCAAAGGACTTTGGCCTCCAATTCTACACAGGTTGCCTTTTGGGGCCCTCAGCTGCCTGGGCAGGAATCCACCTATCCCTCCACTCTCTGCAGGAGTTGAGGAGGTGATGGAGCACAGACTGATCCCCAGAGCAAAGTACTGCACGGTGGAGATGCTGCAGAGAGTACACCTGCTCTAAAGAAGCAGGGCCAGGTGGACCGCCAGGTCCCTGGGCTCTGAGCAGAGCTCCCAGCCTCCCCTCTGCACCTCAGTCCAGCAGGGACCTACCCCCTTGCATAGCTCCTGTCTGTGGCTCCTTGAACACGATGGCCAAGGAAAGCCTTGACGAAATAGGGACAGAGGAGTGACCACAGAGATAGCACTGGGTGCTGGTAGCCACAGGCCCCTCCCTGGAAGGGTCCAAGGTCATCTGCTCCAGGCCTTTGCCTCCATGCAGGACACCGGCCTGAATAGCGAAGCCAGGGAGCTGCGGGAGGACCAGGTCTGCAGAAATTCCTCTCAGGGACTCATTCATTCATTCCCTGTGTGCTCTTGTGGACTCGCTGATGGCTCAAGGGTGCTGAAGATGTGGTCCCCACCCCAGGGGGGCTTTCCACCTCCTGCTTCTCCAGGCTCCTGCATTGAGCCCCTCGCAGCCAGGACCTCATCCTAACATAGTGGAAAATACAAGAGGACCACTCCTGATTTTCTCAGCCCGTCTCTTTGAGGCCTGACCTGCCTTTCCTAGACCCCTGGCACTTTGTTTTAAACAGCCACTTTCCAGGGAGGGCTTCCCCTCTGACCTTTTCCAGTGACATAAATTAAAAGCTAATGCATAGTCACTGGGCTTCTGGAACTTTCTGGAATAAAATGCCAAGCACACTTCACCCCCTGCCTCTCATCTGCTGGCCCTTTTGGCTTCCTGGTTGACTTAGATACTGATCAAAAGGAAGGAAGTGGGAAGGGCCCTGGTCTGGGAAGGGGCAGAGCCCTGTGTCCCAGATCTGGGTTCTGGTACTAACCCTGCCATGAAGCCTCCCTTTTCTAGGCCTCAGTCTTCCCAGGCCCCAAATGGGAGTATGTAGAACATTAGCCGTTTTCCATCATAAGCAGATAACCTGGGTTGGGAAGATCTCTGGAGAAGGCTCTCAAGTGAACCTATAAACAGTTTCTTTTAATGACAGATTTAATTTCTTTCCTAGTTTGGTGTGGTCAGTGTCATTGTCCTTAATAACAATGTAATTGCTTTTACTGAAAAAGAATTTTCTACCTATGCATGTGTGCTGTAGACAAGTCCTTCTCAGCTGGGTCCTATGAAAGAAGGGCTTCAGTGGTCAGATAGGGTTGGCAAGTGTTGCTTGCCATAGATTCTCCCAGCATACATTAAACAGTCAAGGCTCTGACAAATCCTATGGTCCTGAAACTTGTTTCTTTCTCTTTAACTCAGTTTCCCAATCTTGTTTGACCAAGTATTCAGTTAGAATTAGGTTCAGCAGCAAATGCAAAAATTACAAATAACAGTGGTTTAAACAAAGTCCAAGTCTGGGAAGACAGCCCAGGGCTGGCATAGGGGCTCCAGAAGTCTTTAGTGGCCCAGACCTCTTCCATCCCTACAATTGGCTCATGGACCTCATGGTCCATGATTGCAACTAGAGCACCAGCTATCACATCTGCATTCGCGGCATCAGGTCAAAGGGTGGGACAAAGAACTTGAGGGAGACCCTTTGGCCAGAACTTAGTCATATGGCTATGCCTAGGTGCAAGAGAGACAGAATAGCTTTTAGGAGATACCAACAGTTCTCTGTCCCACCAGGAAGCTTTTTTTCCCTTTCTGCATAACACCCTGAAAACACAGTTTGAGAAGGATGCTGTGGCCTTCGGGCCATTTTAACATCCACAGTGGAAACTCTAGAATTTCTGGTGGCTCAGAGTGACCTCTGGGATTAGGGGACATGGAGCAGGTGATTTCTGAAGTTATTTCTGGCTAGACAATGTAGTTCTGGGCTGGCTGCCAGGACAGCCTTCATTCCCCCAAGTCAAGCTTGGTTTTATCCTGGGTGCTTTGAGGATATTTAACCCTCTACTGCATGTGTCCTGTGAACTAACCTCCACTAACCCAGTGCTCTTGTCTGTCTCTCCCCTAACCATCCCCTCCCGCCTGTCCTTGTCCTCGCCAACCCCCATCCCCAGGCGGGCCAGGCTGTGCTGGCCTTCCAGCGATACCAGATTGGCGCCGACTCGGCCCTCTTCTCCCAGGACTACATGGACCCCAGCCAGGACTCCAGCATGCCTTACGCCCCCTACGTGGAGCCCAGCGCCGGGCCAGACCCCACCGGCATGGGCGGCACCTACCAGCAGCCGGCCAACACCTTCGACACTGAGCCCCAAGGCTACCAGTCTCAGGGCTACTGAGCCGCAGTGACCGGCTGCCCCTGCCCTACCCCAGCTGCCCCCTGCCCTCTCCCTCCACACCCGACCCTCTGCTCCCTCCCAGGCTGCCCTGCTTAGTGCCTCCAGGTGGTTTCACTGAGGTCCAGGGCAGCTCGGGTGGGATGGGGCAGTAGGTGTTGGGGCGATATCCCAGTAAGTTGTGTCCAGCAGGCCCCTGGGGGGTTTGCATTCATTCTTTGTGTCTTCGAGCAATCATTGAGCACCTACTGTGTGTCAGGCCTGTTCTGGGCAGAGTGGCGAAAGACAAATGGTTCCCGGAAAGGGGGAAGAGATGTAGAGGGGGCCCTGCGGGTACCAGAGGGAAAGGTCGGCCGGGAATGTTTGGCTATGGTGTGTGACTGGGGGCTGTCACCCACTAGGATTGACACAGTCCCCCTGCTTGGAGTGTTTGGGCCGTCTCCATGTTATGGTTGAGGAAACTGAAGCGTGGAGAAGTCAAGAAGCCCAGTGTCACTCAGGCAGCCAGTGATGGAGGTGCAACCAAGGCCAGGCTGCCCGACTTCAGAGCACCTGCTGTCCCCTGTCCTCCCTGCCTCCCCCTATCCCTGAGCCAGGGGCTCCACTGCTCAGTGCTACTGTCACTCTAGGAGGCCTTGGGGACCTCAGCCCGTGAGACACCCTGATTCTGCTGCAAGCCAGGGGCCTATTCTGCCCTGACTGTTCCCCCTAGCGGGACAGCTCTGCCTCCAGGCCCCTCTCCCCACATCTCATGACCCCTCTCCGGCCTCCTCCCAGGGCAGGAGAGCCGAGAGGGCTCGCCTCACTCCCTCGGTCCCCTGTCCTGCTCTGTGCTGTGCTTATCCCATCGGGATCTCCAGCACCCCTTCATGGTCTCCTGAAGGACTGACTGCTGTCCCTGCCTCTAGAAGGGGCTTGCTAAATCCCTGCCTGGGGCTGGATGGACAAGGAGGCCCAGAACGGGGAGCGACCGGCCCAAGGTCACAGTGAGTGAGTGGCAGAGCTGGGCTTGCTACCTGGGCTTCTTGGCCCCAGGCACCCAGCAGGTGCCCCATTCCCTGCCCTTGTGACCTCCCAGGAAACAGAGCTGATCTGGGACACTGTGTCATCTTCCCCTCATCCGGGCTCAGCCAGGGATAGTCAAGGACATGGAGGGTCCCTCTTCTGGCCTTCCAGACGGCCTGCCAAGGGTCTGGTCTCTCTGTGGGAGGACAGGGGCTCTAGACCCAGCAAGGCCAGCCTGCAAGCTGCTGCCATGGGACAAAGTGTCCCCAGGGTGAATGGTGAGAGCCCTTGGTACATATGAAAGGCTCAGGGAGGCCACAGGCTGAAGGGGAGAAGGGCAGGTGTCCCCAAGGGCACAGGGAGGGTTGTAGAGGGCAGGGAGGGACTCTGGCACAACCTGCGCTCTTCACTGAGTCTTAAGGGATGAGGAGGCCTTGAAGAGGGGAGAGAGGTGTGGGAGACCTGGGGCCCAGCATCCACCAGCCAGTCCTCAGGGAGCAGGGCAACGGGGTTGTGGACGTTCCCACCACCAGCCCCCACAAGAACCCGAAGAGGCAGGTACTATTCACTCACCTGCCTTTTGGTTCAGCAGTTATGAGACATCTGTGCCAGGGATAGTGTGAGGGTAGGGTCCCTGCCCCAAGGAGCAGATGTCAGATATGAGCATTAAACCAATATCTGTACCCAGGGTCCATTACAGGGTGAAGTGCTATTCGAGTGCATGACGGGCTGAGGGCCCTGAGGAGCGGCCCTGCGGATGGGCAGGAGTTAGCCTGGAAACCAGGGCAGGAGGGGGGATTTCCCAGGCAGAGAAGTAGCATCATTGTCCCCACTTAACAGAAGGGGAGAAAGGCTCAGAGCCTGTGAGTGAGTTAGTGAAGCATGGATTGGGTCTGGTCACGTCCTCCCAAGGGACAGCAGTGACAGGAGAGGACCCCAGACAGCCGAGTGACAGCTGCTTGTTGCTGACTTTGGTTTTCCATGTCTGGGGAAGGGGCTGTATCTATGGTTCTCTCCCTTGGGTGGCCCAAGTAGGGACAGGATGGGATCATAGTATCTGCCAGGCTGAGCAGTGGAACCTGTACCAGCCCAGAGGTTTGTGAAGCAGATGAAGGTATGGGTGGGCATGGGTTTTTCTGGCAGAGAGAAGTTCTGTGCCAACGCAGGATGCTGTGAAAAGCCCACTCCCTCGCCCACTCCCCACCAAAAGCCTCCCTTGCTGATGGGCAGTGGAGACCTAAGGATGCTGCCCATCTGTTCTCCCTGGGTGCTGACCAGCTGCTGATGATGCTGGGCTAGAGGGCAGGGTACCATTTAAGCTTCACCCAACCCCTGGGTGTTTATTACAGTCTCTCCCTGCCACCCCAGAATGGGAAGTTTATAAGACCCCTGCCAGGAGTAGGGGGTGCTGAATCATCTCAGCATCCTCCACTCGTCCTGGGTGCAGCCCAGACAGGATTGGTCCTACTGTCAAGCTGTGCGGTAGGGAAGGCGAGAAACAGTGGATGAGAGATTTGGAGGGCAGGATATGATTGTGACCCGGGGCTCCTGACTCCCCTGCGGGGTGGCTGGTGGGGAAGCCTTGCCCCTGTTGGCTGAGGATAACCTCCTGGGGGCCTCAAGCTTAGAGCCTGTGCTCACAGGCCAGCGGTATCCCTTTTTCCCTTCCTGCTGCCCTCTTCTGCCTCCCCTTTGCTTCCAAGCCCTTCCTTGGAGAAGGGCACCCTTGCAGCCTGACCTTGCTGAGTTTGGGCTCCCTCCTTCCATCAAGCGCAAGAAAGGACCAAGGAAAACTGGGTTCCACATAAGTTTAGAGCTGCAAGGATGCTTAGATGTGGAGAGTTGGGCCAGGAAGACAGTGACTTGTCCAATGTCAAGCACAGAGCTAGAGTTTCGGGATCCAGGTCTTCTGCCTCAGAGTTGACACTGATCCTGCACAGTCACAGGCCATCTGCCTCGGTGCGGCTTCTGGTCCACCTAGGGGTGTAATAGTTGAGGGACTAATTCCCAGAGTACCGGCTTCTGTTCCCCACTCCAAACTTCCCTGGTGATTCTTGACCTTCAAAGACTCTTGGGGGTCCCAGGCTTCCCCCATGTAACCAAGAGCCCCCATATTACCCTTCAGGGGCCCCCAACCTTGGCCCAAGACCCCTTTGATTCTCTTAAGGAGCACAAAGGGGGAACACCTCTCCTAAGAGTTTGTGGGAGGATGGACTTGTCCATCCATCTCCCAGCGCTGCCCCTTGATGTGATACTCCCCATCTCCTGGTGCCCACAGCCCTTGTCTGGGTGCCCCGGCCCTTCCCGCAGCATTACTGCCTGTGTATAGTATAAATATATATATATTTTCTATATATAAGATGTATAATATAAGGCTCCACAAATATATCTGTGTGTGTGTGTGTGTGTGTGTGCAGTGAATGGCGGTCCCCATCCTGGGCCCCGACTCTAGACTCCCCCACCACCTGGTTAAGTCTCAAGAGTGAATCCAGTGGCCCCTTGGCACCCTCCTTTATGACATCCATCCATTTGTGGTGAACCAAGTGAAGGTGGTGACTTCTGGTGACATAGTAATAAAGTGAAGACTCAAAACCCACCAGCGGATTGCTGAGTGTCACAGTGTTTTTTTGTTCTTCTTGAGTGTGGCTTGGCATTGCCCATCCCCTCTGTCTCCCCTGACCTGGAACATACTTTATTTGTTCATTATAGTTTGCTGAAAAGTAAAATCATTACAGTTGAAGCCAGTGCCCCACAACATTACGTGTAGTGCACCACTCCCTATCCTGGTCCCATCCCCAACCACCAGAGGCAGCCAAGATTAGGAGCTTGACCTCATTCCTTCCAGACCATTCCCATGCTCTTATGGACACATATGTTTGCAGGACAGTGTTTTTAAAGTTAGTAGCCATGAGCTGGCACAGTATTTATCCAGATCCTATAAAGGGCCCAACACTGTGCTGAGCCCTAGGAGTTCAACACTGAACCAGGTAGACAGCCCCTGCCCTGGCACAGGTGGTCTTCCAGCAGGTAGATGAATGTTAAACCAATAAGCAAGCAAAAATCTAAGGTGTGTTAAGTGCTGAAAGAATGTCAGAAGATGGAGTTTAGACCTGGGCTCAGACACAGCCCCTCTGAGCAGATGACCCTTAACCTGAGCTCTCTAGAATGAACAGGGCTTTGATGGCAAGAAGGTGGGCTGGTGAGCATTCTGAAGAGAGGAACTGGAATGCAGGGAAGAGCTTGGGAGCTGTGGACACACAGGAGAGAATGCAGAGGGACAGGCTGACAGTACTTGGGTTCCATGTCACAGGGCCTTGAGGCCTTGAGTAGGGATTTGGTTACTTACAACTGTATGGAACCCACTGAAGGGCGGCGGGTGACCATCCTGGTGTGTGCTTTAAAAAGACAATGGTAGTCAAGAGGTTGCTGCCCATTGTCCAGACATGATGGTCACCATGGTGATGAGAAGAGTGGAAGAAGTCAAGATACATTTGACGAAGGAGCAGATTGGTAAATGATGGACTGAGTAAAGAGGGGTGCTGTAGGTATGATAAAGTTTCCCAAATACTAGAAGAAGCACTGGAGGTTAGCACTGGAGGAGCAGGGGAGCTCGGCACTCTGTGTGGACCTGTCCGTCACAGTGCCGGCCACGCCCACTTTCCTGTTGTCTGCAAGTTCCGCCTCAGTCCCGGTCTGGGAAGTCGCCGCTGGGCCTCTAATTGGACAGAGGTGAACACGTAATCTGCGGGCTGTCCCCTTATAGGCTGACGGGTGCAAAGGGTGGGATAGGGGCTTTATGGCTAAGCCAATCATATTGCTTTCCTCCATAATGCGGCGGAGGGATTGGTCAGTTGGGAGTGGGAGGAGCCCGGAAGAGGTGCGTATTTTGAGAGAAAGTGGAAAATGGTAGGTTCTAGTCTACCCAGGCTCTGTTCCTTTTGCTTTAAGGAGGCCTGAGGGCTGCCCACAATCAAAAGCTGGCCACCCCTGGAAGGCCCGCCCCTGAGGCTGCTGTCTCCCCATCCCCGCGTTAGAAAGTGGATCCCTGGGAGTGGAATGTGGAACACGCTGGCTTTGGCTTGACGCTAAGCCTCAAATGTGACAGCCTTTCCTCCCAGCCTCCAAGAAGATTAATTGAATTGTGATTATTTAGTGGTGACACTGCCTTCTATTTGTCCTTTCTGTCCTCATCATCGTTATTCAGGTAATTCCTTCACTTTTCACAGTTACCAGAGCACTTGTCACATACATTACCTGCTAAAGGACTTCAAAAATTGGCATGGTAGGACTCAGATCTGCCATCTGTGGTAGGGAGGGGATTCAGAAGAATGAGTCTCAGGTCGAGAAGATGCTTCCCAAAAAGGGATGCATAGGACATCACGGTGGAGAGTGTCATCTTTCCAAGATGACCAGCCATCTACACTGCGATACGGGTTTTAAAAATGTGGTGAAAGTCATTCACTGGACTTAACGGGAGTCTGTAAAAGTCTGAAAGGGTTGTCACAGAGTCAGGACAATTTGGGGAAATGTGAAAATCCTTTTAAAAAAAATACTAGTTTTCAGAATCAGGACCACTACATGATTTGCAGAGCCCAGTTCAAAATGAAAATGCAAGGCCTCGTGTTCAAAAAGCAATTAAAAAAAAGTGCAGTTAAAGACTAAAATATAAAGATTTTTCCTTTCAAAATATTTTACTACTTATAATGATAAGTAAGGGGGAATAGTGATACTGAACACCATAAACCTAAAATTCCGAAAGTAATTTTGTTGTCATAATTTTATATAATAAACAATTACCTTGATATGATATCTGATTGATCATTAGATTTTTCTGGCTCAGTTTTTTGCAAATTCATTTATTAAAGTCATCAAAGTGTACACTTTTGCCAACTTCATTTCAATTGACATAATTGAAAGCTATGCTAGTCATTTTTGGCAAATGCAAGATCACAAATAATGCTTTATCATTTTTAATTTTGATGAGGATCTTTACGCTGATGTGGCATCTTACTGGAGCTGTTAAGAATATTTCATAGGCTGTCACATGAGAAATTTCTGATAAACTGTTTCAAAATATAAACGTTAGTACATCTAGAGCTGATGTTTCTTGTGGAACAATTTTTCTAAAAAGATTTAACTCTTCATACAAACACTTTCATGTAAATCTGATTTGTATTTTACATGTAAATTTATACAGTGACATTTTAATGTTTCCCCTAACATATTCCGTTAACTTGTGGAAGTTGTACCAGAAACTGAAAGTGACTTCATGATTTGTATATAATTTTAATAACCTGTTTATGTATTTGCTTGCTCTGTCTTTGATTGCAAGGAAAAAATAATTTTAAAATTGCCGTCCTTATGAATAGTGAAATTTCACATGAAAATAGAATTCTCTCCTGCAGAATATGATCTTTACATTTAATTTCTATTTCAAAGCCTATGAATGCTTGCTTTGCTATGCTGCAGCAGTTTTCAAAACCAGAAGTTCTAAGCTCTGAAGAATTCTAACGACTCTGTGATATGCTTTATTGCAAAGTCCATGTGGGTGCTTTAGCTTTATAATAATTTACTGACAGTTTACTGCGTGAGTTCAGGCAGTTCCTGTCCCAGACATGGGCCATAGAGCTTATATTTGTGTAGATGCGATAGGACAAGCTTTTCCACGTGGGGTCCCTTCTCTCGCTACCGCCTTGGTGGACAGCAGCCATCTTCTGCTGCTGCCAATCTGGCCGTAGATCCTGGCCCCTTGCAGCCCCACAGTGTCCCAGACTGCCCAGCCATGTGGGTGCACGCCTGGTGGCCAGGCCACCTGCCGGGCCCCCAGGCTGCCCACTGCCTGCCGTTCCTGCTGGCCAGGGCCTGCTTGCTGCCACCTGGTGTATCGTCTCTGCTCACACACATGCTTCATCATCTCATTGGACTGCTCTTATAAAACGAGTTCAAGGAGAAAATTATTAAGAATTTCAAGGGGGAGTGTATAGCTCAGTGGTAGAGTGCCTCCTTAGCATGCATGAGGTCTTGGGTTCAATCCCCACTACATCCATCAAAAAATAAAAAATAAACCTAATTACCTGCCTCCTAAAGATAATTTGGAAGGAGGGTATAGCTCAATGGTAGAGTGTGTGCCTAGGATGCACAAGGTCCTGGGTCCAAATTCCACTACCTCTGTTAAAAATAAGTAGGTAAATGAAAAAATAAACCTAATTACCTCCACCCCCCCAACCAAAAAAAATTTCAAGATAGCTAATGCAGAGCATGAAACCAAGAGCTCGGTCCATTCTGAGAGCAGGGCCCTGGGTGACTGTACAGGTCACATGCCCATGAGTTCAGGCCTGCCCACAATGCTGATTCCAGCCCCTACTCTATTTCCCTGTTACTCTATTCTGAATCTTTTTTTCCCCTTCTTTTAGTCTCCTTGTCAATTAGATGACTACACTTGATTGTGGACCTGTAATATTGTGGTATAATAAGAAATACATATTTGGTCTTCATCTGTCCTGGTTCCTGGCACAGAGCTCCTAAGAGCCTTGGGATTTCTGAATGATGTGGGTAAGAGAAATGTTTTCTGTTATTCATAACAAGCTTCTTTCAACCCCACCTAAGCATATGTAAATGAGGTGATTTTCGGAAAGCCCCTAAGGATGGAGGTTGGTTCCAGGGGTACCAACCATGTGATTAGAACATTGGAACTTTCAGCCCTACCCTCTGACTTCTGGAGAGAGGGGAGGGGCTGGAGATTGAGTTCAATCACTAGTGGCTGATGGTTTAATCAATCATGCCTACATAATGAACCTGCCGTAAAAATCCTAACCAAAGGGGTTCAGAGAGCTTCCGGGTTGGTGCTGGGAGAATGGTGTGCCCACCCCATTCCACATGCCTTGCCCTATTCATCTCTTCCGTCTGGTTGTTCCCGAGATGTAGCCTTTTATAATAACAGGTAATAAGTAAGTAAAGCACCTTCCACAGTTCTGTGAGCCATTCTAGCAAATTATTGAGCCCAAGCAGGGGGTCATGGGAACTTAGGATTTATATCCAGTAGGTCAAAAATGGTATCCAGGGTGAAGGCAGTCTGTGGAACTGATCCCTCACTTGTGGGCTTGATTGGATGCTAACACCAGGTAGATGGTGCCAGAACTGTATAGGGTTAGGTAAGGACTCCCGGCTGGTGTCAGAGAACTGGTTGGTATGGGGAAAACGCCACGCAGGTGGTGTCAGAAGTGTCAGTGTGAGTAGAAGTATAGAAGAAAACTGTTTTTTCTTTTAGGGCCAGCACTCTGTCAGCATCATCTATTTCTCTTCTTCAGCCCCTGGGGACAGAGGCACTAAGCTGACCCCACACTATAGAGGAGAATCTGGGCACAGCTGGGGTCACACTGGGGCAGAGCCTGAAGAACCACAATGCATCCACCTTCAAAACCCCTGCTCTTAGCCACTCTGCTGCCTTTTGTGGAACTATTTTTATGTATTTTTGGTAATTTACATATGCTTAAAGACTTTTTTATGCAAAAATTCCCCACAGCTCTGAATGTTTCTGGATCAGCAGAAGCTTCAGCTCTGGTTATCCGTCCATCCTCCTCTGTGCTTACCCATCTCTGGTGCCT